CCCCCTGTCCTTGTCCAGCCGCGGCCCCCAGCCCGCTCGCCTGCGCTTGCGTGCGCGCGCGGGAGGGGGGGCGCGCCGCCGAGCGAGCACCCTCCCGCGCCGCCCCGACCCTCCCCCCATGTGCATGTGCCCCCCACCCCCCCACCCCCGGAAAAAAAAAAGAAGAATACAATACACGCAGTTCTATGGCGCCTTGTCCTTCCTCCTCCTCCTCCCCCCCCGGCCCGCCCTCCGATCGGGGCACAGGGGCCACACCGCGCGGGGCACACCAACGCGCATCAATGCAGGGCGGTCACATGATCAGCAGCGGACCATGCTCTGGTCACCGCGCGCTTTTCCGCCGGTGGATCGCCTCCGCCGGGTTTCCTGGCAGGCGCATGCCAGATCTCCCCTCCCCTCCCCTCCTGCGCCCCCTGCTTCTTGCCTCTTGGCTGGTGCCTTGCGCCCCCGCCCCCGCCCCCGCCCCCCCCCCCCCCCCCCTCCCCCCCCCCTCCCCCCCCCCCCCCCCCCCATGACAGACACCCGGCCGCAGGCCATCGCCTCGCGGGCCTCCGCGGCGGCCCTCTGCCACCCGAACCTGTCGCTGGGCGACCAGGTACCAGCATCGCTGGTGCATCTCTTCGGCGAGCAGGCTCACCACTGTGGTGAGCTGACCGAGGAGGACTTCGTCAGCTTCTATGACATCGCCTCCACCATCGCTTGGATCGAGGAGGGCGGCTTCTCCCGAGTGCGCTCTCTGCCCCCCCCCCCCCCGCCGCCCTGTGGCAATGTCCTCCCGGCCGCTGCCCTGCCGGGCCCCGCCGGGCCCCGCCTTCCGGACGCTGACATTGTTCGCTCACCCTCCGTCCACAGATCTGCCTCCAGTTTCCAGACAGTCTCCTCCACCACTCGGTGATTGTGACGCGCATCTTGGAGCGGCCTTTTGCCGCGCCCCAGAAGGCCCCCCTGGTGGGAGACTGTGGCGCGGCCGGCCGCGCCGAGGGCTGTTGCTCTGGTGGCGCCTGCGACCGAGGCTCGGCCACCAGCGCCACCGCCAGCACCCGCGCAGGTGGCTGCTGCAAGGAGCCCTCTTCCTCGGTGGCCGTCCCCGGGGCCGGGCCCTCCTTCTTCCTGATGGCCGACTCTTCCTTCGCGGAGGTGGAGGTCGACGAGATCGCCGCAGCTCATGTCAACGCTGATGCTGTGGTGCACTATGGCCGCGCGGCCCTCGGCGCGTGCGTTTCCCCTCCCTCCCGATGTTGACGTGCCGGCGATGCGCATGTCCTAACTTACCTTCATCCACCCCTTCTCTCTCCCTCCCTCCCTCCCTCTCTCTCTCTCTCTCTCTCTCTCTCTCTCTCGCGCGCGCGCGCGCGCGCACACACACACACACACAAACCTATCGCCATTCGTCCAGCACGACCCGCATTCCAGTGCAGTTTGTCTTCGGCAAGTACCCCGTCCTGCCGGAGCTTCTTGCCAAGGCCCTCTTCCCCACGCCGATCGACGAGGTCGCCCCCCTGGCCGCCGGTCAGGACTCCAGCGATGACAGCTCAGTCAGCATCGACCAGCTGCCTGGCAGCCAAATCCGCTTGGCGGTCTTCTACGATGTGGGCTACGCGCATGCCATTGGTGTGTCCGCCTGGCCCTCCCGCTCCCTTTCCTTCCCCCCTTCCCCCCCCCCCCCCCCCCCCCCCCCCTGCCCCCGGCCGTCCCCTCCGTCCCGACTGACACCTTCCCCTTCCTGCCTAGGCGACATTGAGGCGGCCATCCGGACCCG